CCACACTGAAGGGTCAGCTCATTTATGTCTCCACCGTAAAGAGAAGTTGTTCCTCCCAAACCCACTGCAGTTCTCCACATAAAATAGGCCCTTTCCCTTTGGGCCAAATGCTTCAATAACAGGGACCCGGCAGTATTGAGCTGCCGGTGCTGCCAGCCTCGACTGCCAGGAGTGGGTGGGGAGCTGGTGTCACCCTGGATTGAGCCCCAGATGGTGCAGGTGGAGGACGCTGTGTGCAATTCTACACTTCCCGCCTGAGGGGCGGTCACTCTCCTCCCTCCCTCCAACCCTGCCGAGCCCTCTCTTTGGGACGCCCCTCTGTGTGGGCACACTGAACACATCAATGCCAGGTTTATAAGACATAGAGAAAGATTAGAAAAGAACTTTTCAAATATCGTGGCAAAATATCAACAACACAAATTTACCATTAACCATTTTTAAGTGTACAGTTCGGTGGCATTAAGCACATTTCCCCCCCCTCCTTCTCAGCACCCCCTTTCCTGATCCCCCCCCCCCCCCAATGGATTATCTGTCCCTAAGAACAAAGACTGGGTACTGGCCCCTGGTGACACCGTGTGTGCGGTGGGCTCAGACAGCTGCCTCCACGGGAGCCCTACGGCTTCCCCATCACGTTCTCATCAGTGTTTACTAACCGTCCACACTCCTGGTGGGACACCCAACCTCCCGCTCCCCGCGCGCTCAGCTCCTGCTTTTGTCCAGTCCTCACAACTCGTCCTCATGGAGTGTCTACTCTTGAAAGTCACTGCGCTGGGTACAGTGGGTGGGGAGTCACATTCAAAGAAGCAGACAACTTAGTGCAGAGTGTTAGTAAAGGCGGGATCACACAAGCAAAGGCAGACGCGTAGCAGGGTCATAAGGAAAGTCCACACCAGGTCCTCAGACCTTGGGGGCGGTTAGGTTCACCTGGGCCTGGGAGGCCTCTGAAGGCCCAGGACTGGCCTCAGCCGCTGTGACGAGCCCTCCAGGTCAGCGGTCGCCAGCCTTTTGGACCTCACGGAGGCGATTCGGAAAAACACCAGGAGCTGGGAGCTGCTGGCTAAACAGCCCGCTAAGCCTTAGCCACTAAGGGTTTCAGGTGGGAGAGGCCACAGCCGGCCCAGCGCGGCCTCCTGATGAAGAGCACCCTCCCACGGACGGACATTCACAATGGGGAGAGTTTTGTTGGGAGGGATTTTGGAGGAAGGCTGGAGGATTAGAAGGGGTGCGGGAGACAGGAAGAAAGTGGGGCACAGGCTGGGAAAATGAGGTGAGGTCAGAGGGCAGCCGAGAGCCTGCGGGGTCTGCTCCAGTGCAGGGGAGTGTAATTCCCAGCAGGGGCCCGGGCAACGCCGCGCTTTTGGAAGGTAATTCAGAAGCACGGCCTGGCACGGGTGAGGGCAGGGAGCCCGGTGCAAAGGCTGCTGCTCCACCAGCACTTTCCTGATGAGCACTTTGGTCTCCGAGTTCACGGCTGATAGCCTTATTGCCCCTCGTAAATCAATTCAGACGGTTCCAGCCACACACTCGGCCTTAGAGCACATATTTCTAGCTTATCGCGTCTGGATTGTAAATTTCAGAGCTCATTAACCCGAAGGCCAGACCAGGAGCGCGGGGCCTCCCTGTGTCGCACATACCAGCCGGTGTCTGTCACGGGCGGCGCCCTGTGGACCAAAGAACTGCCGAAACGGCCTTTTCCTGATGGCTCTCCATGCTGCCCGCAGGCAGCCTTCCGAGGGCCCGCAGCTTCAGTCTCAGGTGTTTAGCTGTTCTGATTAAAACCACCGTTTAAAGTTGTATTTAGCCTGGCCGGGGCTCCGGGGTTTAGAGCGTCATCCCCATACACCAAGGTTTCAGGTTCCATCCCCAGTCAGGGCACAGACAGGAGACAACCGCAAACTGATGTTTCTCTCCCTCCCTCTCTCTCTTAAAAAAAAAAAGCAATAAAAAAGATTTTAAAAATAGAAGTTATATTAGAGGAGGCAGAAACCTGGATGGGGGCTCGAGGGAGCACATACTTACAAGAATGAGCCCTCTGCCCTGGTGCCTGTTTTGCTATGAACTGACTTCCCTTCTAACACGCTATTTTGACTCTTTTAATAAGAAATCAGAGCGAGCAGAGCAGAAGCTGACACCTGACCAGCAGGAGCGGAGGCTCCAACATGGGGATTTCACCTAAAGTCACTGTGAATCCCAAGAGCAGACCCCACAGGGCACGTATCAAAAGTCAAGCCAACAGACAGCACCAGCTGGTCGTCTGGAATGAAAATGGCACTTTCCTGGGATGTCGCAGAGGCAGGTCTGTCCTCACCTTGGCCAGGGAGGCTGTGGCGGGTTCTCGCAGGAGCTCCGAGGCGGCTTCCGCTGACAGGACCACCGAGAGCTTCCCACCTGCAACCAAAGGGGAGGAGAGCAGGTGAGCGGGTGGGAGCCCGTGGCCACGGAGGCCGCGTGGGGACTCCCTGCCTATCAACTTTCTACTCCATGGCCACCCATTTAAAAAGAGTTTCACTCGCACGGCTTAACCGCAGCTGGAAGATTTTAGAAAACAAGGCGGCTTACAAATACCCTTTAGAGAATGCTCGTGCGCCCTGGGCCCCTGCAAAAGCCTTTCAAAGGAACGCAGGCCTCCGCTGCTTTCTCAGCTTCTCTCCAGGCGGGAGCTGCTGTCGCCTGGCCCTGTTCTCTGTACAAACACCAGCTCAGCCGCTCCTGTGTCCCGAGGGGGCGACAAGGAGATAGAAACATATGCAGCTTGTACCCACTTGCTCTGACATTTGATCACCTAACAGTGGGGCTCAAATCTGTGTGCATCAGGAGCACCTGCCAGCAGGAACTGGGGCATTCAGCAAGCTGGGGGCTGGGACCCTCAGTGCATCCAGCTGTGGGCTGGGACCCTCAGTGCATCCAGCTGTGGGCTGGGACCCTCAGTGCATCCAGCTGTGGGCTGGGACCCTCAGTGCATCCAGCTGTGGGCTGGGACCCTCAGTGCATCCAGCTGTGGGCTGGGACCCTCAGTGCATCCAGCTGTGGGCTGGGACCCTCAGTGCATCCAGCTGTGGGCTGGGACCCTCAGTGCATCCAGCTGTGGGCTGGGACCCTCAGTGCATCCAGCTGTGGGCTGGGACCCTCAGTGCATCCAGCTGTGGGCTGGGACCCTCAGTGCATCCAGCTGTGGGCTGGGACCCTCAGTGCATCCAGCTGTGGGCTGGGACCCTCAGTGCATCCAGCTGTGGGCTGGGACCCTCAGTGCATCCAGCTGTGGGCTGGGACCCTCAGTGCATCCAGCTGTGGGCTGGGACCCTCAGTGCATCCAGCTGTGGGCTGGGACCCTCAGTGCATCCAGCTGTGGGCTGGGACCCTCAGTGCATCCAGCTGTGGGCTGGGACCCTCAGTGCATCCAGCTGTGGGCTGGGACCCTCAGTGCATCCAGCTGTGGGCTGGGACCCTCAGTGCATCCAGCTGTGGGCTGGGACCCTCAGTGCATCCAGCTGTGGGCTGGGACCCTCAGTGCATCCAGCTGTGGGCTGGGACCCTCAGTGCATCCAGCTGTGGGCTGGGACCCTCAGTGCATCCAGCTGTGGGCTGGGACCCTCAGTGCATCCAGCTGTGGGCTGGGACCCTCAGTGCATCCAGCTGTGGGCTGGGACCCTCAGTGCATCCAGCTGTGGGCTGGGACCCTCAGTGCATCCAGCTGTGGGCTGGGACCCTCAGTGCATCCAGCTGTGGGCTGGGACCCTCAGTGCATCCAGCTGTGGGCTGGGACCCTCAGTGCATCCAGCTGTGGGCTGGGACCCTCAGTGCATCCAGCTGTGGGCTGGGACCCTCAGTGCATCCAGCTGTGGGCTGGGACCCTCAGTGCATCCAGCTGTGGGCTGGGACCCTCAGTGCATCCAGCTGTGGGCTGGGACCCTCAGTGCATCCAGCTGTGGGCTGGGACCCTCAGTGCATCCAGCTGTGGGCTGGGACCCTCAGTGCATCCAGCTGTGGGCTGGGACCCTCAGTGCATCCAGCTGTGGGCTGGGACCCTCAGTGCATCCAGCTGTGGGCTGGGACCCTCAGTGCATCCAGCTGTGGGCTGGGACCCTCAGTGCATCCAGCAAGCTGGGGGCTGGGACCCT